TAACAGTTCAAGGAAAAGGGGAACTTAGAATCAGTAAGCTAGGAGTTAACCCCCCTTTCTCCAGCTGCCAGAAAGGGGAACTTAGCCTTTAAAAAGTCTTATAATGCTGTGATTATTTTATTCCTACAAAGATATATGCCTTACTCTAAATTGTCTGCTACTAAATGATAAAGTCCTATCCATCTATCCACTAAATCTATGGGTAACCTAGACCCAAGAGAATATCTTTGTTAGTTTGGCTTAGCTGTTAGGGCTAGCTTTTCCTAAAGAAGGGAGCCTAATCCTACAATCAAACTAAAATCAAAGTAATCAATATTAACTGATTTAAAGTGTATTCTTTTTCAATTCCTGCTTTGATCTTTAAGGAAATAATTTCCTTCTGGTTCACTTGAGTGGAGAATCAAACTCTTTCAAATGTTCTATGCTCTTAACAACCAATTTCCCTAATAGGTCTGTGTGTGACTACAAAGTCAGAGCAATTTGCCCCATTTCCACTAACAAATCTTTAGAAGTCTGCATAGCATTGGAAAGGGAAGCAGTAGCTTGTAGTTCAAGCAACGAGGATTCTTTAGTCAAGATATCAATTGGTGATCCTGTTCTGACCATTTTTGCTATATCCATTTGTACTAGGAGATGTTTTTATAGGTGACACGAGGGGCAATTTGTCCAATTAGTTTTGGTGATAACACATTTGTCGTCATTATTATTATTTTTTTAAAACAAAAATATGTGGACAGGAATAGGCACCCATGATTTGGGGTGCTTAGGTGGACCTGGTAACAGATCCAACATTTATGGGGCCCACTGAGTAATTTATGTCATACCTGATTATGAAGTCTAGGTACAGCATTATTTATTACACAGTTGTCATATGAGAGGGCTACGGGCAGTAGTGCTAGGATTGATGGCAGTGATACAAGTTTACAAAGTGAGTAGGTTGTCCTACAGATTAAAGCCTTATTACCTATGGCCAGACAAAATTTTCAGGGGGCATTTCACTTTGGTACAGAAGTAATGGCACATGGGAAAAAGAGAACAGTCCTTTATTGAGTTTCACCAGTTCCCTGGAAATCCCTGATATAGATGAAAATGTTCAAAGGGCTATTCTGTACTGCAGCCCCATTCTATAGAGACCTTTCAGCCTATTTCAGTATTGCAGCAGATACACAATTCTGAAATAAGCCAGTTCTTAGCAAGTAGCTCTTCCTTCCACATCTGCTTCTCAAGTTCTAAGACCATGTAGGAAGACTTAATACAAAGTCAGTATAAAGAGCTATAAGAAGAACATCAAATTAAAAACACATAATTCATCTGAAACTTCAGAGAATTGCAGCTTGTTACATCATGAGAGACTGAAGTGGAAAATGAGGCTTTCTCTCTCTTAAAATTATCAGAAAGATGCTTCAAATAGGAAAACAATTTCACCCTCATCACAATTATAAATATAGTTTCACATGTAAAATTTTAAATCCAATTTTGAAAATTGTGTCACATCTTTCACTAATTCCTCCCTTATGAAGATGTTATTATTATATTAACATAATGGAAGGATATTGTAGTATGATCTCCTATAAACTACCCCACAAATTATAAGGCCTCATGGTCTCCATTATTTGTAATTCAAATGACAATTTAAAATGGTTCCTCACTATACTGGTACTATACTAGCATATATTAATCCGTCAAAAGTCACCAATAGGGTTTATCTCTTATTTTTATTACAATGAAAAAATGAGGAACCATTGTACACTTGCCCTTATCAATGGAATTTGTTATGTGAGGAGAAAGGGAGGGACATAGCAGTGTTAATACTGTTCATTAGTTTTGTTTGATTTCAGGTATGAGTCATAGACAGCCAGTTGTATGCACAGCCAGGCTCAGAATTAACCAGGTGACAAAATATCTCATATGGGAAATTGAGTCAAAAGAGTCCTTACCTTAGTCTTCCTAAGGCTACCCACCCCCCAAAACCGGTCCCCAGGGACAGATATCCCCTGGTGGGAGTTCATAGATCCCATTCCCATTGAGCTCTTGACATTTTTCTTAAATGATGGGCTAGTGGCCTTATAAGAGACCAGATACTTATGCCTGAAATCAAAACTTATAAGTATATCAAATTAAAGTTCCAAAAGATTCTACCTCAAATAGCAAAACTTCATTAGTCATATGTTAGGGCAGGATATAATTAATCATTAACAATGTTGGTTCAAATTCATACAGCATTCGTTAACAGTTGAAATTTTCATATATTCAGTATAGTTGTTGGAGGCAAAATTCACCACATGTACATATGCCTATAGAGTTATAGGGTTATCCAATATGGAGGAATTATAGTCAATGAAAAAGGTGACAGTAGTTCATTTATATAGTTTACCACCTGCCAGGGTTTTTTTCTAGTTCTTAAAGATTACGTTAAAGAATTTCAGAGGCCTGCTTTCTGTAGTGCTTTAGAATGTTTAGTTTTTTTATTGTTTTGTTTTGTTTTTTTAAGGCAATTGGGGTTAAGTGACTTGCCCAGGGTCACATAACTGGTACATGTCTGAAGCCAGATTTGAACTCAGGTCCTCCTGACTCCAGGGCTGGTGCTCTATCTACTGCACCACCTAGCTGCCCCTAAAATGTTTAATTTTTGATTTCTCAGTTAATACTTAAATTACTGGTTAACTTACATTGTAGGGCAGTTGTAAATAGTAACACTGAAGTCTTTCCCTTTAGGAGACCAGAGGAAAATTTAACCCATTGAATATTTATTAGGTTTTTTTTTTTTAAACAATCTTGTTACATTAATTTAGCAGTTCAGTTTATAAGATGCTAAACTTACTTTAGCCACATGACATCAACTTAGTTCATTTCAAAGTAACTTTACACAGGCACAGTTAGAAATTTAGATCATAACTCTGGTTGAGGATCCTCAAACCTCTTACTAAATCATAAGAATTTAAGGCAAAAGGCACTTAATTATTACAATTTTTTTTCAAAGACATCACATTTACTTTAATAACTCAACAGGGCAGTGACCTCTCTAATAGCACTTTACAATGTTTTTAGAAAAATGTCACGTAGCAGCATGTATTTAAAGGCATATGCTCCTAATTAAAAGAGAATTCACATTTTTAATCATATGTGTAACATGCTTCCAAATTCCACAATGCAAGAAAACTAGAAGTCTAGAGAATATCTATTCAGTTAGATAAAAACTTATCCTTCTTTAAAAAATTACCCATGTTATTTTGATATATTATTTAATCCAAAAGCTAATAACAACAGTCAACACTTATACAGTGATTGTTATGCTAAGCACTTTAGAATCATTTAATTCTTCCAACAACCCTGGGAAGTAGGTGCTATTATTATTATTATCCCCTTATATATTCAAAGACTGATCAAATTTTCTAATATACTACAATTACAATGTAACTTCAAAATAAAATTTTCAACCCAATCAATTTTTTATTTATTTGATTTAATAGTTGATTTATTACTAGTGGCAGTAACTAAACCTTATTTTTCACAAGGGTCCATTATTTTTATTTGGCTCATATTAAAAAAATTCATGGCAATGCCCCCAGTCCCCATAACTGCTTCTTTATTTCTTTGAATCACCCAGAGAGCCAAATCAATTCTTTTTATTTTTCTAACTTAACCCTACCAGTATACCTTAAGGCATTTCTCAAAAAATTCCCCAAATCCCTTTTTTCTTTAATGGGATCAAAACTATTTCTCAAATTTCCTTCTTCAAAACTTCAACCCCTTTTCTTTCAAGCCCTGCATTTACTCTGTGTCAGTACAGACTCCAACTTTCCTTAAAAATATCCATTCTTCTCTCATCCGTACTTGCTTAAACTGTCATCTTTTCTTTCATTTTATAAAAATCCTTCAAAACTAGACCTTTGTTCTTAGCTTATCCAGCACTCCTCTTACTTTTTCCTACTTGCTTATTTTCTCTTGTCTTTATTTCCTGATCATACAGACTTAATCTTTACTCCACTAAATTTCTCTTTATACTTCAGCACAAGTTTTTATTACACAAAACCAATTAATTGCAATACTGTCACCTTTTTCTTCCCCTTAGGGCTTACAATTGCACAATTCATTCCAATTTCTTTAAGGCCTATAGTTTTTTTTTTTTTTTGCTTTTGTTTTTAATAAGTGACAGTCAAACCTAAATACAACTTACTGAGCACAATTGCAAAGTTTAGGTCCCTCCTAGTTCCTCATTGACGACCTTGGAGAAGAAGTCATCTATGTCTTTCTCAAAGTTAACTTCTTTTATGGGAGAAAAGTATTCATCTGCCTGTTTCATGGCCAAGGCCCAACTATGGCACAGGAATGTCACAGATACTGGTATCTTAAAGGTATCTTAAAGCTACTCCTTTTACTACAGTAAGTTATTATTACTCCACTTTATTATGCACTCTAAATGAAAACTATCTTCTTTTCTCAATATATAATTTAATAGAATTGTGTAAAAGTGGTTTCCATTTTGATGCTGTTGATTTCGAATGATCTGTATTCTTAATTGCCTCTTCCTTTTAGAAAGTTTTTGATAGTTTTCAATACTGTAGGTTATTAGGTTATTTAATTCTCCAATGACTTTAAATTAACAGAAATCCTCATCACATAATTTAACTTTAGATTCACCTACATGAAACATAGCTGTATAATTACTAATGGTAATAATTTAAAAGTTTCAACTTTCACAAGGGCTATTAACTGCTAAGATTTCAAATTTCAGGACCCAGTATTATCAATGTGCTTATGCTTTAATTTATGTTTGACAATGAAGCAAGAACCATCCTGAAATAATTTCTATCTTCAAAAATTCTTACTCTTACTTATTATAGTTCTACCAAAATACAATTTTTACTTCTACTGATTTCAACACAAGTTTTACTCTGTTTCTAGTTTACCTAAAAAATTGATTTAAACTACAGTGATAACATTAAATTTCACTTACTTCCAGTTGCTTCATGCTTTCAAAACAAGCTTTTCTCTTTCAGGGAGCACTTTTGGAGTCACCTTCAATCTGGAAGTCCCAATGTAGGGGCTGATAACAGGGCTTGCTTGGTGTCTTCAGGTTGGTTGTTTAAAATCAGTAAGCAACAGATGGGTAAATAAATTCCAGTTCTACTTACTTTTATTCTTTTGGAATCTGAAGGTGGTCTAAAATTTTCCTGTTCTGCCTTCTAATAAAAAAAAAATTCATAGTTTCTTCCTGCAATAAATTTGTCTCAACTTTAAGTATACTTTTTAAACATTCCTTTAGTCTGCACTAAAGTTAAAACCAATTTCATAGAATGACACCCAAAAACTCAGAGACTGACCAACTGAAATTGCTTTGAGCTTAGCAAATGTGTTTCTTTTTTTAAAATTCTGAGTTGTAGAATTATTTAAACTCACAAAAGCTTTATTCTAATTTTTCCTGTACTGTTTTCCTAAGTTTTTCTTATTTTAACACTTCAAACTGCAGCTGAAAATCAATCTCTGGTCATTTTAAAGTTCCTTTTATGGAGTGACTGATCTGTCAATTTTTGTTTTCATTAAACTTTACAAAGTTTGCTGTACCTCAGAAGCTCATCAAAATACTTCATAAAAACTTTCAAATCATAATTTTGAAATTTCCAGTAGAGAACAACAAATTTAGTTTCTAATTATTTTATTTTATTATTTTTTTTTAATCTGTCATCTGCAACTTCCAATGTGGCTAGTATTGGAAATAGAGAAAAGAAAGACTTGTCCTTTCTGAAGACTTTTTTTTTAAGAAAAGTTTTACTTTTTACAGTCTTTTTCCTTTAGTTGATTTATCCAAAGTTAAAAACAGAACAAAACAAATGCTTGGTAGCACCTGCCATCAAGGATTAGCACAAAGCACAGATTTCTCACCACATTCGCCTTTTGATCAATGTTCTTGTGTAGATCTCAGAAAGATTTTCCTAATTGTATGAGGTCCCTTTCTATCTGAAGCAAGGAACCCACTATTCCTAAACTTAGTTCTGTCATTGACAAAACAGACACACAGAGAACATATAACAAGGCGACACGACACTAAATCAGACCTGAGTTTCTTCTGAGTTTCTTTAGGAGATTTAGAAATCAAGTGAGGTTCTTCTAATGCAATTGGCTTGAGCCCCTATTCTGATATGTATTCCTTCCAATACCAGTCACCACCAGCTAATATCTCCTTATCAATACCAGGGATTAGCACCCCTACTATCAATTTAAACAATTAACGTCAATTAGTTCTTACAAAGGGATGTTTAATGGAAAAAATATAGAAAGAAGCAAAATACAAAACCTCTTCCCAAACCAGGGCACATGCTCCCCTTTACACCTCTGTCCTTTTTGGTGAGGCAATCGGGATTAAGCAACTTGCTCAGGGTCACACAGCTAGTAAATGTCAAGTGTCTGAGGCCAAATTTGAACTCAGGTCCTCCTGACTCCAAGGCTGGAGCTCTATCCACTTTGCCACCTAGCTGCCCCTTACACCTCTATCCTTAAAGAGAGCCAGCTCAAACTTAAATTATTAGCTATAATTAGTCTTTTTTTTTTTCCTTTTGCTGAGGCAATCAGGGTTAAGTGACTTGCCCAGGGTCACACAGCTAGTAAGTGTCAAGTGTCTGAGGCTGGATTTGAACTTGGGTCCTCCTGACTCCAAGGCCCAAGCTCTATCCACTGTGCTACCTAGCTGCCACAGCTATAATTAGTCTTGCTCTGCTGAGTTCACTTCTGGGTATGGCACACAAGATGGACAAGTCACTTCCTTACTTGCCAGGCATAATGTCTCAGCTATTGGGTAAATTTACTGTTGGGTTTGGATTTTTTTCAGATTAAATTTAATTTTGAAAAATTTTATTTTTAGTTCCAAATTCTCTCCTTCACTTTACCTCCTTTCCCACATGTAGAAAAGGCAAGAAATATAATATCCATTATATATATGAAGTCATGTAAAACATTTTCACATTAGCCATGTTGCAAAAAAAAAAAAAAGAAAAAAGAAAAGGCAAGAAAAATAAAGTGAAAAAATCTGCTTCAGCCTGCGCTCGAGTCTATCAGCTCTCTCTGGATGCAGATAGCATTTTTCACATTAGGTCCTTTGGAACTGTCATGGATCATTGTACTGATCAGAGCAGTCAAGTCTTTCACATTGATTGTTGTTACAATATTGTTATTACTGTGTAGAGTGTTCTTCTAGTTCTGCTCACTTCACTTTGATTCAGATTATATAAGTCTTCTAAGGTTTTTCTGAAGCCATGCCCTTCATCATTTCTTTTAGCACAATAGTATTCCATCTCAATCATATACTGCACCTTGTTCAGCCATTCCCCAACTGGTGGGCATCCCCTCCATTTCCAATTCTTAGCCACCACAAAAGAGCTGCTCTAAATATTTTTGTACCTGTGGGTCCTTTTCCCATTTTTATGATCTCTTTGGGATACAGACCTAGTAGTGGTATTGCTGGGTCAAAGGGTATACAGTTTTATAGCCCTTTGGGCATAGTTCCAAATTGTTCTCCATAATGGTTGGACCAGTTCCCCTGATGGCCTTGGTTACAGGTTCTCAGGGCTGGCTCCTTCCCAGGCTTGGCTGCTAGACTTCTGGGTGTCTCTTCCAAACTTTCAAGATCTCACAAAGCCCTGAACCAAAGCAAACAGATAGGCAGCCCCATCCCAGACACAGGCTTGCCTGGGAGGTCATGCGCTCAGCAACCAGTTAAACGCCTTTTCTCTACAACATAAATAGACAAGAAACTATCACAGGATACCTGGGCATGCTCTGAAGTGGACAGGGCCCTCCATTATGCATGCTCAGAAGCAAGATCCCTAAGCATTCATGTGAGTTGGCACCAGATAGAGAAGATTTTTTTTTTTAATTTTTAGGCAATTGGGGTTAAGTGACTTGCCCCAGGGTCACATAGCTAGTAAGTGTTAAGTGTTTGGTCTGAGGCTGGATTTGAACTCAGGTCCTCTTGACTTCGGGGCCAGTGCTCTATCCACTGTGCCACCTAGCTGCCCCTTAGAGTAGATTTTTTTGTTCATTCCCAAAGGACTATGTCCCCCATTACACTTGTATGACCCTAGTGAAGTCACTTCCCCTCTCTGGGCCTGAGTTTCCTACTCTGTAAAATGAAGAAATTGAAATAGATGACCTTCCAACCCTGATCTATGAGCATATGGTCTTTTTGATTTCTGAGGTAGAAACAACCTGGACTTACAAGCAAAGGAGGTTCTCTAGGGTGGGTCCCACAGCATTCCAAGAATTTTGATACATTGGCCCCCAACAAACCAGGCTATCTGACTCAGGTGGGCCAATCCAATCCATCTTTGTCTGTTGAAGGAGGAGAATGGCCCTGGGCCCAAGAACAGGAAATAAGAGCAAGCAGTGTTGACTCATAGCATATTGAGACAGAGGCGCAACTAAGGAAATGTAATCAGTGGCTAAGATGGAAAATAACAGATTCTGTTGAAGTAAATCCATTTGTGAGAAATCTCAAGCTTCCTGGAATTAGACTCACTAGAGGGCCTTCACTAAAGGGGGCCCATCTTCATTTATGATCCTGAACAAATCCATCAGCAATCCCAAGCCTCAGGGGACCAAAGGCATTAGAGGTCCTCTGTCCTCAGAGACTGGGAACCAAATACTTGTTCTATGTATGTGGCATCATGTGGGTATGCCTAAGTCCTTGCCATTGGGGATGAAAAGACAGTCTGGTTTCAAGGATGAGTTCAGTTCAGCCTGGAACACCCAAATAGCATCTATTTGCTGATCTCGACCCCTTTACAGAACTGCTGCTTCTACCCATGCCTACAAGGAGCTGACGTTATATAAGGGAAGGCAACACGTAAAGGAAAAACTAGAGGTGAGAAGAAGGAAGGGAAGGAATAGAGCAGCCTGGCTTGGAGAAGGCTAGGAAGTGACGCCCTGTTAAGTCATCCTGGGACTCTAAAGAGTAGGGATCTCCATCAACTGTTTCTTTCCCCGTACTATAGCTAGCAAACTCCTGCCTCCTCCTCCCCTTTCCCTCCCATTCAGTTGCCATCTGCTGAAGGGAAGCTCCTTTTCCCCACTCTCTCTCCCACCCATTCCACTGTGTCCTCTGGAACCCCTCTGCTCTATTTTTAAACTCCCCTTCATCCTAGATATTTTCATCTTGGGGCAGCTAGGTGGCACAGTGGAGAGAGTTCCTGGGCCTGGCATCAGGAAGACCTGAATTCAGATCCAGCCTTAGATACTTTCCAACTGTAACCCTGGGCAAGTCACTTAACCTCTCTCTGCCTCAATTTCCTCAACTATAAAATGGGGATAATAATAATACCTGCTTCATGGAGTTATTGTGAGACTCCATAAGATAATATTTGTAATGTTTTTAAAAAGTGCTTGGCACAGTACCTGACACATAGTAGGTGCCATATAAATGCTTATTCCCTTCCTTTCCTTTACAACATAAAATAACTTCCAGTTTGTTCCTTTCATAGTAACTTGCAAATGCATGATCTATTTTAATTCCTTTTAGATGCCTTTGCTTCTAATTTACTAGGTAATTAAATTCTGTCAAATCATTCAGAAGCTTACAGTAGACAGGTAAACTAAATTCTTAAAGTGAAATTTGGCATTTTTGTCCTCAAAATGTTTTTTTTTTTAACTTGACCTTTTTTTCTGAGAAAACTCTGACTTTAATAAGCTTCCTTCCAAACTGGAGGGAAGAGTTAAGATAACAGTACCTGCTAGGAATGTAATGGAATACTATTGTGCTATAAGAAATGATAAGCAGGCTGATTTCAAAAAAACCCAGAAAGACTTATACGAACTGAAACTGAGTGAAGTGAGCAGAACCAAGAGAACACTGGACACAACAGCAACACTGTACGATGACCAACTTTGACAGACTTGGCTCTTCTCAGCAATGCAAGGATCTAAGACAAATCCAAAAGACTCATGATGGAAAATGCTATCCACGTCCAGAGGAAGAACTATGGAGTTTGAATGCAGATCAAAGCATACTATTTTCACTTTTTTTTTCTTTTTCATGGCTTTTCCCTTTTGTTCTGTGTTCTTTCACAACATGGCTAATGTGGAAATATGTTTACAGGATTGCACATGTATAACATATCAGATTGCTTGCCATCTTGGGGAGGGGGGATAGGAGGGAGGGAGGAAGGAAAAATTTGGAACTCGAAATTTTATAAAAAATTAATGCTGAAAACTATCTTTACATGTAATTGGAAAAAATATTGTTTAAAAAAAAACCCGATAATACCTATAAGATGGTTCTTAAGCACTAACTAGGTAAGGCTTTGCTGAAGAAACTTCAGGCCGTTGTCAGAAAAAAAATTGTTTTGTTTTGTTTTTCCTTTATGTGCTTTTGGCATCACTGGCAACAAAACTTTTAAAACCTTTTTAAGGCCTGAGCACCTTTTTGTCAAACATATATGTGTATATCAACACAAACACAAAGAATAGATATCCAAACATACAAATGCATTGAGTATACTCTTCATTTAGATTCAGGGTTCCTTTTTGAAAACCTTATCTAATTCATTTTGTCTAAGCTTTTGTATCTTTCATTTCTCTAATGAGTGAGATACAAATGCCAGCTTTTCCTGGGACAGAGATATTTTTATATGATCTTTTCTCTTATCTGAGCTTCCTCTAACTTTTTCTGAGTCGGACACAAAGTACTGACCTCTCTTGCATAGTTGAGGATCTGTTGTCACAGCTCACTGACCGACAGGGGCCTGAGACTGATAGGAGTTTCCACTCCTTTAATGGAGAACCTGCTCTTTTTACTGGGCACAGAGGCGTCTCTAGCCTCATTTCCCAACCCTGAGCATCTGCTGATCTTCATATTCGCCCCTCAGTCAGAAGGGTCTGTTGACCAGTTTTGGTCACTCCAAAACGACCAAAAAGATCTCTTGAGGTCAAACACTCCTAAGGATGAGCCTTGTGGTCACATGCCTCTTTACCATGAAGGATCTGCTCATTTTAAGATCAATCACTCCTTGGGCTTCTATATCTCTCTCTAAACAGAACAGATTCATAAACATTGAACAAGCTACCAACTAACAGTGAAGAAAACACCAAGCTTTCACTTTTAGCCAGTCAGAAGCCACTCAGTTCATGGAATTCCCACCTGCTCATAGACTGGGCAACTAGTTCTAGGTGATCTGCTGTCCAGATCTGCTGCCTGATGCTAAGGAGAAGATAAGGAAAACTTGTCACATACAACATCCAAGGTGGAAACAGATACAGATGTGAACAGTCATGCACAACTATCTCTTATTGTGTGTCTGACACACTGGATCTTTCAGGCACATTCCATGAGTCCAATCAGGAGCCAGCAAGGCTGGCTGCTCTGAAAAACACTTCCCATTTAGTTGGCCATGGAAGCTGTTCAAAGAGAAGTGATGGTTTGTTTCAGGTATGAGGATCTGAGTAAATGGGACCAGTTAACTGTTGAAGAAGAAAACATTAATACTGTACTCCGCATTTTAGGCACAGGTCTGCTGGGAAAAAATGTCATTTAATTTCTAATAAATCTAATATCTAAGTATTTTGAACCTAGGGACATCCAAACTGACATAATCTCCCCCTGTGCCCTTGGGCATGACTCTCTATCCCAGAATGATTTGAGATAACATTTATAGGAATCTTGAACAAGGAAGAGATCCTGGTGTTGAAATACAGTTTGGGGTTAACATGCCAGAATAGTCACTATTTAATTCCTTCCTGGACCACTCCCCTCAAGGACTGAAAAGAGTTTCTTCCCAATGATCTGAATCTTCTGAACTATGTATGCAAAATCAGATATTCCCCTTGGGTGAGTGAGTCATAGAAGTAAGTTCACTTCCTCTGTGGGTGGGGGTGATGATCTTATCTAGAAAAGAGGTTAGTTTCCTTATCCTGACTAATCTATTTCCCTGAGAAAGTCCTTTACCTATTTTCCTAAAGGAAAAATTCTGGAAAGGGTTTTATGCTGGAGAAAATATTCTTTCTTAATACTTTTGGTTGAATTTTCTATAAAAAGGTTTTTAATATGTTTCTACAGTAGAAAGAAGTGGCTTGGGAAGTGTAGTGGGTTTCTCTACCTCACAGGGCTTCATATAAATGCCTAGTCACTACTTATTGAAGAGATTATAGAAGGAAGGGATGTATGGTCAGGTAGAGGTTGCTTTAGATGGCTTCTGAGGGCCTTTCCAACTCTGAGAAATCATGATTCTATGAGTAAACTGTTCATACTGAGTTCTAAATTTCTGATGAGACTCACTACCCTCACAAGGTTTATCGGATCTTAGATATAAAGCAAGAAGGGACCTTTGAGGCCATCATATTTGCATTTAACAGAAACATATGGAATCCTATATCTAAAAGGGACCTCAGAGAGCTCTTAGCCTGCTCCTCTGAGAGTGCCATATCCAGTGGTACCTAGCCAGGACTAGAACCAGCAAGTCTTTTGCTCCCCAGCACAATGTTCTTTCCCTAGTTTATACAACAGGCAGGATCAAAGTATCATACAAAAATGAATCTCCAATGGGGGCATTTCAAGCATTAATCTAGACAATGGGGAATGGATGACAGAGAAGGTTAGCTGTCCTAGAGTCACCATATAGAGAACTACCTACCTACTCTGCCTATGTGTAGAACTGATCCTTATTCTGGGGAAAAAACTAAACTGGTCATTGAGGGAGTAATCCACAGAGATTTCATTAGAAATGGGTTTGGAATGGAGGAAGGATTGAAGAACAAAGGCTCCTACTTCTGTACAAGTGGCTTCCAACAGTTTATTAGGAGGGGAAAATACTCCATAGTACTTCTCTTCTTTTTGCAGAGAAACCAAAGCTTGGGTGAAGTCTGGAGCATCATACATGTGAAGGGGCCTTTTCTTGCTGAGTCTCTTAAGTCCATAGTCAACAAGATGGACTCTGAAGCCAGGGGTGTGCCATTGAAATGGCTGTGGTTCATATTTGCTGAGTTTTCTCTGCTGTCACTGGCAGAGATGTATGGATTCCGTCACTGCACCCAGTATGAGTTTGACATTCACCATGTGATCTGTGTCCGGAAGAACATCACCAACTTGAAGGAAAGCATTCATGATCTCCCTGAATACACCACTCACCTCAACCTTACACACAACAAAATCCAAATTGTGCCCTCTGAGAGTTTTGCTAATTTGTCTAATCTTGTAGATCTTAGACTGGAATGGAACTTTATTTGGGACATTGGTCCAGGGGCCTTCCAAGGGCTTAAAAACTTGACCCTTTTGAACCTGGTGGAAAATAAGCTTAAGAATATCAACTCTTCTTTTGAGGGCCTGTCCAGTCTGAAAACTTTGCTGCTGAGCCACAATCAAATCACCTGGATCCATGAAAATGCCTTTGTCCCACTTGTCAATTTACAGTACTTAAGCTTGTCTCGAAACGCGATAACCAATTTTTCCAATGTCCTGGCAGCTGTCCAGCATCTGCCAAGCCTGGAGGTTCTTGATCTCACCAGCAACACCATTGCTTTCCTGAACTGTAGTCCAACAGCCCTGGTTTCCCTCACCAAGTTGATCTTGATGAGGAACAAGCTGGTAGACTTGGATTTCTCCACTCTGTCACTTCCTAACCTAACCACCCTGGATATTTCCCAGAATGCTATCCAGAATGTGCATCTGGAGTCTCTACCCCAGGTGAGGAGTTTGAATCTGAGTGGGACACGTATGAAAGTGGAAAAGCTTCAGGCCGAATATCTGCAGAATCTGATCGAGCTGGACCTCAGTGATATTAATCCATTGCCTGGCACAAAGCATGTGAACCTGAGCACAGTATGTCACCTCCTTCAAAACTTGCCCAGGATAAAAACTTTATTTTTTAAGAAAAATGGAATCGACTCAGAGGACATCAAACACCTCACCAACTGTGCTATGCTTTTGTCTCTTGACCTAAGCCACAACAAAGGTTTGGTCCATCTCTGTAACGGTGAGTTCAATGGCATGCCCAGCCTTGAATGGCTGGATCTGAACAGTTGCATGCTATCCCTGATCTGCAACAGGACTTGGAATTCTCTCCAGAATTTGACAGTTTTAGACCTGAGTAGAAATAGGCTTGAAACCTTTCCGGAGTTTGCATTTGCTCCCCTTGAACGTCTTCAGTCCCTCTCTCTTTCCAGAAACCCCATCACTGAGCTCAACAGCCTGTCCTTCTATAAACTACATGCATTAAAAGAGCTCAATTTGGCTGGGTGCTGGATAGTGGCAATCGATAAATACTCTTTTGGTCAATTGTTGAGTCTTGAGAACCTAAACCTTCGGGAGAACAATATCCGAACTCTGAAAGGGAACACTTTCTCACTTCTGAAGAAGCTTCAGGTTCTGACCCTTTCCCAGAACCGTCTGACTACTATAGAGGAAAAGGCCTTTTCTGGCCTCACAAAACTATACAAACTTGATCTGGCATACAACATCCTGTCTGGTTTTCATCCTGGTATGTTCCTGGGACTGGAAGGACTACAGCTTTTAGACCTCAGTTTTAATAAAATAACTTATGAAACTCCTAAGAGTCTCCAGCCTCCTCCTTTTAAGGATCTCCAGTCCCTCAAATACCTCAACCTAGAAGGACAAATAAATGGGATTCAGGTTATCCCAATCAACTTCTTCCAAGGACTGGGTAGTTTGCAGGAACTACTACTGGGAAAGAATTCCAAGGTATTTCTAGACCACCTCCAGTTAGACCAGCTGCCTAATCTCACCAGGTTGGATATCTCAGGGACAAAAGCTGGAGATCGGGGTCTCTATTTAAATACCTCCTTATTCCAAAAGCTCAAACAACTGAAAATATTACGACTGGAGAACAACAACTTGGAATCATTAGTTCCTGAGATGTTTTTTGGTTTGGAACACCTCCAGGTCTTTTCTTTGAGGTTCAACAACCTGAAAATCATTCATCAAAGCCTCTTGCAGAACCTGAAGTCCCTGATGTACTTTGATGTTTATGGGAATAAGCTTGAGTGCACCTGTGATAATGAGTGGTTCAAGAACTGGTCCATCAGTACACCTAGTGTCCATATCCCCTACCTAGGGAGCTTCCATTGTCAGCAGCCAAATACACAGAGCCTACTGGTGGCTATTGATACTGCCATATGCAATTTTGACACAGGTAAAATCTTCTTCTTCAGCTCCTTCAGCGTGGTACTTGCAACTATGGTCTTCTCTTGGTTTGGTACCAAGATGATCTCATCTATGCGATATGGGATCTATATGTTTAAGTCCCTGTACCTGGCCAAGTGGCATCGGACAAAAAGGGAGTTCATCTATGATGCCTTTGTCTCCTTCAGTGCTGCTGATGAGCAGTGGGTGTATAAGGAGCTCATGCCTGCCCTAGAAAGGGGTGGCCGGCCTACTTTTAAGCTCTGCCTGCACCATCGGGACTTTGAACCAGGAGTGGACATTTTTGAGAATATTCAGAATGCCATTAACACCAGTCGGAAGACTCTCTGTATAGTCAGCAACAACTATCTCCAGAGTGAGTGGTGCCGGCTGGAAGTGCAGCTGGCCAGTCTCAGGATGTTCTATGACTACCAGGATGTGGTCATCTTGATTTTCCTGGAGGAGATCCCCAACTACCGACTGTCCAGCTACCACCGACTCCGGAAACTCGTGAAAAAGCAAACATTTATCACCTGGCCTGAGAATTCCCAGGAGAGGCCCCTGTTCTGGGCCCGCATTAGAAATGCGCTAGGCAACAGGAACATTAGGGAGGAGAATGCCGAGCTGATTTTGACTGAACCACTGGGAGACTGAAACTCTTGGGCAAGACACTGTTCGATACCAGCATGAGACCTCCTGATCAGCTACTGATCCTTTGGCTCCAGATAACACAACAATGAGTATTTGGTGGGCAGCTAGGTGGCAGAGTGGATAGAGTGCTACACTTGGAATCAGAAAGACCTGGCTTTAAATGGTACCTACTAGCTGTGTGACTCTGGGCAAGTCACTTAATCTCTTTTAACCTGTTTCCATGTCTACAAATGGAGATAATAATAACTCCTACCTCATTTGTGATAACATATATAAAACATTTCACAAACCTTAAAGTGTTCTATAAATTGGAACTATTATCATTATTATTATTAAAGAAGTTGATGGATATAGTTCTCATAAGTTTATGCATATGTGTATATAAGAAAGGTACAGAATATGTATCTGTGTGTGTGTGTGTGTGTGTGTTCTGGAGCAGCATAATTGATCTACCTATGAAGAGGAAGTCATTCTGAGTCCAATATGTCTGTGGTCATGGATATGATGTTTAAACCCCAAAGAGAGTCTGTTCCTTTCTGTTCTTCCTTGAGATAGTAGTGAAGAAGAATTCTAAAAGAAGTTACTTTGGACCTTAGTTTCCTCAACTGTAGAATAATGGGTTGGAGTAGATGACCTCTAAGGTCCCTTCTAAATTCTATCATTTTATGCAATAACTTGACTTCCATTTCCTCCAAGCAGCCTTCTATGATTCCCTTGTGCCAGCTTTCATTCTCTTCCAGCCCTCTAAACTCCCCTACTAGGTCCCATGTAGCACTCCCCCCATTCCACAGTGCTAATGCATACACACATATGAATACATATTTTTGGTCCATTCAAGATCTAGGATATCATTGGTCTAGAGGCCTCCCAATGTGGACACTCCCTCCCCTCTGCTAGGTGCATATCAACAACTCCTTTGTAATTTATCATGTTGGGGGCACAGAAAAGTTAAATGACTTGTCCAAAGTCACACAGCAAGTATCAGAGACAGAACTTGAACTCAGGTCTTCCTGACTCCACGACTGGACCTCTGCCCCCTTTGCCACCTCGCCTTTCTGCGCTTATCCTATAATATATACAGCTAGTTCTCACTTTATGTAAATTCACATTACACAAATTTGACTTTACGTAAAGAATTCTGAAAGGCATAGGAAGATGTAACAGAACACGTATAAAGGGAGTTTGGGAAAAAAAAGTGTACCTGCAGTTCACTCCTGATTTTGGTGGATTTGACCGAGATGAAATGTTCAAAGAAGTAAGTAACAAGATTGTAAAATTAGCACAAAGAATTGCAGCTAGAAGTGGGATGAGAGTGGAGAAGGTGATTGAGTCTCATGGAGAAGAACTGCCATATGAGGATCTGATTGAGTTGCTGGCTGGGAAGACTGCAAAAGAAGAAAGGGAAGCTTCAGAATCTGGGTCAAACCAAAAAGGTTCACGATGAAACAGTTGGCAGAAGCATTTCATCATTTGAGTGAATTTTTTTCATGTGTTAAAAAGATGGATTCAAATAATTCAAGATTTTTAAAAGTTCAAAGATTAGTTGAGGATAATATTGCTTACTATCATCAGATATATGAGGGGAAAAAAAGAGAGCCATTGTCCAAATATCTCTCCACAGCTTCATTAAAAAAAGGTGTGCAGCCAACCCCCAGTGATAAAAGCTGTGTGCAGTGGGTGGGGAAGGAGCAACAGACCGCACACCTATGTTTATCTTTTTTTTTTTTTTTTTTCTGTGAGGAAATTAGGGTTAAGTGACTTGCCCAGGGTCACACAGCTAGTGTCAAGTGTCTGGTCTGAGACTGGATTTGACCTGAAGTCCTCCTGACTCCAGGGCCAGTGTGCTATCCACTGCACTGCCTAGCTGCCCTACCTATGTTAACTTTACAGTGTGTGTATACTTTATCATTAACTTTACCTTTCATTTCATAATTCTCTTTATAATCATAGTACAGTATTTAATGTGTCTGCATTTTAGCACATTTTATGACTTGCAAAAATGTATTTTGTGTATGCCTTTGTTATATAGGCTAAGTGGAGTGGGTGGGTAGGGGCAAATTCACATTGCATGAAAATTGCTTTACATAGAGGTCTGCAGAATGGCCCACTTACATAAAGTGAAAACTGTTTATATTAGAATTGTCTTTGTCTTATCCCCCTTCTAGGCTGTAAGCTCTTTGAGGACAAGAACTTTTTCTTAAGTTTGTATTGTCCTCTGCATTTAGCACAGAGTTCTGCAGAAGGTTGGCTCTTTATTAGTGTTGGTTGAACAAATACTTTCATGGGCAGAAGCTACATGGACACAGAGGACTTTTTAGGTAAGAGGATGCTTTATTTCTCCATGGCAGTAGCCCTGCTGGTGAGCACTACACATTTAAATTCTACATATGTATTTGATAAAATCAAGTGGACAAAGCCAGTACTCACCTGTGGGAATACCAGCCAGGTCAATAAACTCTCTGACATTACTCAAAATCTCCAATTCAGTTTGGGAAACAGTGCATTTTCTTTTGGTCAGTCCAGCTAAGCAAGCAGCCTACTCCTTGGATGAATGAAGCTGATAGCACTGGAAATTCTCTGAAGAAACGTGGATTGTGGCACACAGTACTGCAAGGTAATGATCAGGGGAACAGATCATTTCACCTATAAACCTGAGGTACATCTTTCCATTCATTCACCATAAGTGAGAAGATTACACATGCCTAGGGAACATGCACGGGGGTGAGGAAGGAAGGGGGGGGTGTATGTATGAAAGGGCACACATGTCCAATGTAAGCTTGAGGGTAGGGATTGTTTCATTTGCTGTCTTTGTAGCCCTAGTACTTGGCATATAGTAGGTACACAATAAATGCTTATTAAACAGAATTGAATTTGTGGTTTTGCTTAGTCTGTGTGCATAATGGTGATGATTTCTTTTATTTGTATAAGAGCAATGTGTTGCAATTCAAAGGCTGTCCATTGTGTAAAGGTTTGTTTTTATTTTTGTTTTTATTCTTTGATTTAGGCAATCATGGCTTCTAACTAAGGCTAAAGCCACCTAGGAATGATTACATAGGTGATTTTCCAACCATCCCCAGTGTGGAGACAATGTTTTCATCCAGACAATATACCTAGAATCTTCATTCTCATCAGGCAGGTCTTCCACCAATTTCCAGCCCCTTGATGGCATAGTAGATGATCCTGGGTAGTCGTGGTGACCCACACGTTCTTAGTCCTGCAGGCAAACCTGGTGATGAGCTTCTCCAAACTTAGGTGGGCTAGCCCCTGGATGACAACTACACAATTCAACCCAGGGCCTATACTCAAAGTTTCCAGGATGGGACAATTGGCAGAGCTTATATTTCACTCTCATAGCCTTAGAAAGCCCTGAGGATCAAACAAGGAGAGGGTTAGACTTTAAATTGTAATGGAAGGTTTTTCATGTGGGAAGGAGGAGATATTTCTGACCATGAGAATTATCACTGACCAGTTTGTGGAGGGATCCCCTGAGATCCTTTTCCCTACAGATGTTTAAGAAAAGAATAGAAACCTGACTGAGATACTTGCTATGCATGGCTAGACTACACGACAGACTTCCCAAGATCCCTTTTCTCAAGATCATTGGTTCTACGTCACAGCTGCCAAGTCTCTATTGCTAAGGAACGGGCAATGGCTCCATCTGGTGGATATTTATTACTTTGCAACTACACATTCTTTCTACCTCTCCCCGATCATAGGCAGCTTTGTGACTCTTTGGCATGTGAACCAAATAATAATACTTATATTATTTTATAGAAATATAACATTTCTAGCAAACTTCTATATGTGAGGAAACAAGCTAAGAGCAGTGAAGTGATTTGCCAAAAATCAAACTATGAGCACTAGTGCCATGATTCAAACCCGAGTGTTATAGACTTAAGTCAAATGTTGTTTCCTACTACGTCTTGCTGAGAAAGAGCTGGCCTTATCTAGAGATAGGTCGTGCTATCCTATGTGAGTAGAGTTTTAAAGGTACCAGGGAGACTATGCTCGATTAAAAAAAACGCCTACTTAGATGCCACTATGCCTGATTAGAGTCATATTAGAAAGTCATTGCTTTGGATTCTCTCTGTGATCCTCCTTTAAAACAGTGGTGATGCATTGTATTTGTGTAAGGCCTTCTAGTTTTAAAATCGCCTTCATATTTATGATCCCATTTGGCAACTCTGAAGAGATGTAGTATACTATAAGGCATACTTTAGAGTTTGAAAAGAGCTTTACATGTTATCTCATTTCATCTTCACAACAACCTTGTGAGGCAAGTGTTGTTTATCCCCATTTTACAGATGAGGAAATGAAGCCTGAGAAAATTTACCTTGCCCAGGGTAACACAGCTAGTAGGTGTATGAGGCATGAGATTTTTTTTTTTTGTCTTTCACTAGGCAATGGGGTTAAGTGACTTGCCCAGGGTCACACAGCTAGTAAGTGTCAAGTCAGGCCGGATTTGAACTCAGGTCCTTCTGACTCCAGGGCCGGTGCTCTATTCACTGCATCACCTAGCTGCCCCGAGGCATGAGATTTGAAGTTGAGTCTCACTACAAGCCCAGTACTCTTTATCTGCTACATTAATCAACTGTAGTTCCCTGGGCACGACCTCATATACCCTCCACTCCCCCCCCAAAAAAATAACAAATTATCACGGAATCAAGGTATTCATTCTGTGGGCCCACACTTACTAAAAACCCATAGCCCACAAGTCTCCATCAACACGTTTACTTTTAATAGTCATCCAGAGGACACAGTTCAAAGGCATTTAATGAAATAACATAGAACATTTAAGTTACTAATGATCTCTTAATTGCCAAATCTAATGGTCTTTTGGCAATCCTCATCCTTGACATCTCTGCAGCCCTTGACGCTGTCAATTACCCTCTTCTTTAGGATATTCTCTTCTTTCTAGGTTATTGTGACACTACTGCCTCCTGGTTTTCCTCCCATGTGTCAAATCTCTCCATCTTAGTCTCCTTTGCTGGATCATCATCCAGGTCATGTCCACTAACTACGAATGTCTCCTAGGGCTCTATCCAGGGCCCTCTTCTCTTTTCCCTCGGTATTACTTCACTTGGTGATCCCATCAGCTCTCATGGTTTTAATGATCATTTCTATGCTGGTGATTCCCAGATCTGCTTTTCCAATACTAACCTGTCTCTT